TAAACCTCTGTATCACGATGATTACTGGCAATAAAATTACAGTTGTGTGTTCAGTTGTAGAGAAACAGGCTATACATGTAACAGTAATCAAAATAATCAATGATAATGAGCAAGCTTGCAATCAAAAGACGTCTTTATTATTTCAATGTGTTTTGTTCAGTTGGTATTGTGTAATACTCCTTCTAGAACAGTTAATATCATTTGTTTGATGTGTATTACTCCTATTTGATATTGTATAGTGTTTCATTTAGAAAGCCTGATATTTCATATTGTGTAATAATATTTCTAGAACACATGATATCCTATTAGATATTGTGTAATATTCCTTCTAGAACACCTGATATCATATTTGGGAAATGCACTTTCTAGACGACCTAGTATGTATTTGATATTGTGTAATATTTTTTCTAGAACGCCTGATATGACATATTGGGTAATATTCCTTCTAAAATACCTGTTATAATATTTGATACTGTGCAGTACTCTTTATAATACACCTGATATCATATAATATTTGATATTGTGCAATGCTCGTTTCAAGAACATCTAGCATCTTATGTGTTATTGTGAAATACTCTTTCTAGAACAGGTGATATTATATTTATTTGATATATAGAGAATCTCCTACAAGTCGATAAAGTAAAACAAAACGAGGCTTTGCCGAGTAGGAGATTTTATTTATCACCCAACCCTTTCTTACGCGCACAAATAAGTTAAATATAATTCTTTGGTAAGATTAATTTTACTAAGCCTGATTACATTACAGCAAGTCACCCATTGCAAAGTCCTATACATTGACCAGGTGTTTCCTTTTAGGTTATGGGGGTGTATTGTAATTGTTTATGGTTATTCAGAATATTTCTCCAACAATATTACTGGATCCAAAAAGTAGTTCATTTTTTTAAATAAAACAGTAGTTCCTTTTAAATTTACGATATCATTTAATACTCCTATTTATATGAAAACTTGTGTAATACGCCTTCTAAAACACCCCATGTCATATTTATTTGATATCATGTAATACTTCAAGAACACCTTGTATCTTTTGAGTCACAGCATATATGACCCTGACAGATAGGAGTGGGGGCGATTTGTTCAAATTCTTAGACCTGGGACTATAATTTTTACCGGTAACAAATTCCTGGAAGTATCCTTAAAAATAAAATCACAATGTAAACCGAATTGCGGTTGTTTTAAACACGTGCCTTTGATTAAGACTGAATCCAAAAGGCATTAATTACCAGATAATAAGTCTCAAGCATGGAATTTATCGAAGACTTTACCTTGACTTAATCCTATTATGGACCCACCGTTCATTCTATCAACATCTGTGTCGATTAAGAGAAAATACTCGAACAGACCAGACGAAAAGTAGAAATACAAATATTAACTTTTTCTAATCTCTTTGCAAGGTTATCCTGAAATAAAGGTACATTATGAGGTGGGAATAAGGTCAAACATCCTGTAAATGTATTTTAAGTATTTGGAATTTTCTTTATCTGGTTCGTAAAGGCTGTTTTAAATAAGGCTCTGTAAGGTTATGCTGGTAACGTACATCATGTTCGGCATCCTTATACGTCATTAATGCATTTAAATAAAAAATATGGCTATCGTCAGAACTACAATTAGAGTAGAATAACTGACAAAAAGCAAACCTTTTGGTAGTTAAAGAATTCCACCAGACTAATGTGTTGACGCTAAATCTAAGATAAGAATTTCTTTATAATTCAACCTCTAAAAGATGGATTTTATTACGCTTTTCGCCAAACGGTTCTGGACATTTTAAGGCATGCCTTGCAATACTTAGCTAAACGTGTAGGACTGAATAGTATTCAGTGAAATTCACGTAACAGGACATCAGTGGATGTTGTGCGTGCATGTATGTGATGTTTTGCATACATTGGCTTGATGTGGTCTGTGATTGCGTGCGGCTTCACAGAGTGTAGATGATTTGCATACATAGATGGTTCCGTCCTAGGAAGTATTTTGTTCCATTAGCTTCGGAGCCATACAACTGACGGGATATTACATCGATACAGATCGCGTGTCAAATTTAGTTAGTGATAATCAAAAACAGCTTCCCTTTTTTCTATAAAATTCGTATATAGTTGAGATTCATCGATGGATCTGTGGTTGGTTTGGGTTTTTTCAGATGACTATCATTTGTTCTCCGAATGTATTAACTACTTAGAGTTATATAAAATTGTATTCTGTAAATGTAATAAACAACTGTCTCTATGTGAGTTATAATGTCGTCGTCCTCATTTTATTATTTCTTACAGTGATAAATAGTATTTTTTTGTATTTAATTAAAACTATAAACATTTTGTTTTTACAACAATTTGTTTCTTAATGGTAGTAATTAAAGTGATGGTGTGTTTAATAGATCTTAGAATTATTTTTTTAAAACTGTTTCTTATACTATTTGATTATATTCCTTGTGATTTGAATTTTCTATTACAAAGCAACTTAGGTACTTCAGGATTGTACTGATCTGATGCTTATTACTCCAATATCGCCGTCTACCAAGTGACTTACATGATTACTCTTTAACAATACCACTTTTTATTTATTTAGGAACTTTCCCCTGAAACCTTAAATATTCTCATGTTGTACAATTTAATATCTGGTTCTTTCCGGCCAGGAACTGCACAATTTAATATCTTGTTCTATCCAGACAAGAACTTTCCCATATAACCTTAGTTATTCTCATGCGGCACAATTTAATAACTTGTTCTTTCCAGTCAGGAACTTTCCACAGAAGCCTTTGATATTCTCATGGGACTGAATTCAATATTTTGTTCTTTTCAGCCAGGAAATATCCTTTGATACCTTAGATATTTTCATTCGTTACTATTTAATATCTGAGACCTTAGTTATTTCTATCCGGCATGATTTAATATTTTATTCTTTCTAGTCAGGAACTGTTCCCTGAAACCTTAGATATTCTCATGCGACACAATCTAATATATGATTTTTTTCTGTTCAATCAGGACCTGTCCACTGAAACTTCAGATGTTCTAATATTGTGTTCGTTTCAGTTAGGAACTGACCAATGGAACTTTCGATGTTCTTATTCTCCACGATTTAGCATTTCGTTAAGGACAAATTACTAGCAAAGTGCAATTCCGCAGTTAGATACTGTCCAGCGAACCATAAATATTTTAATGCGTCCGATTTAACATTTGGCTTTATTGTACAAATTTCTAACACTGCATGGCTCCTCGGTTAGGAACTGTCCAATGGAACATTGGTTACTCTTGTACGACACGATTAAATATTTCGTTAAGTACAAATTCCTACCATTGCACACAACGCATTGGTTACGATTTGTCCTACAAAACTTTGGCTACTCGACACCATTCAATATTTTGTCAAGTACACATTTCTAACAATGACCAACTTCGCATATAAACATTTTTTTTGCTGGAAACCGTGTATTTCGTATTCGTAATTAAGTAAAATTTTGTGACATTGCTCAACTACCCAATTAAGAAATGTTAGTAACACCTGCGTTTGAGTTTTCTGGCAGTGGCTGTGTTTAATTGTAGACTAATTCATTATATAGGTGTTCGGGTGGACAACACCGTAAATCAAAGTTAAAAGGAGGGGAAAGAAAACCGTGTAAGCCATCTGCTGTGACTCTATAATATATAGCTGTGACCAAACGTTAATATATTTAGTTAGCAGACCATTAATAATGTGTTGGCTAAATGTTAATTCAATGATAGATGGCCGCTGTTCCAAGTATACATCAAGTTCATGGCTTAGCCCGTAGTTTAAGGTTTTCGTATGTGATAGGATAAATACTTGGAAGGTGTCCATTAGGGTATATACATTGACAATGATGTATAATAGGCATGTTAAAATTAACTAACAAATGACACTCATCAACGGCTTTTCTGGAAGCCAAAAGGATGAGTTCATTTGGGTTTAACGCATTTCACTTAGGATACTATTTCTTACAAAGTGTTTAGGATATTCAATTAATGCTTTCAAAGCAATAAACAATATGGAATCTAGAGGCATTTCCTGTTTGGAATTTTGATTAATATACATATTTCTGTGTGGATTGGAATATAGATAGATTAATAGTAGAATCCTACCGTATACATATGTGCCCTTTAATATAAAAATTCTTATCAAAATTAATATCCCTTTTGTGCGGAGATATTAGTGATTTATTGTGAATTTTTTCTCTTTTATAAATTTGCTTTTGGTCATTTTACTCACAAATTAAGTGAGGAATGTGCCATATACAGAAAAGGGCTGTTATATGGTGTAGTGTCGCTCCTCCCCTCCCCTCGATCCATTTGATTTGTATTTCATGGCTACCATTTACAGTGTCCGTGTTTTGACGTATTTACATGTTTTCGTCTAGGTTTTGTTATGTATACTGTTACGTATACTGTGGTCTTCCTGTATTTACTATTACTGTTATATATGGCCGGTTTTCCTGTATTTAACATTACTGTTATGTATAGCGCGGTCTTCTTGTATCGCCTATTACCGTTATGTACAGTGTGGTCTTCCTGCATTTACTATTACTGCTATGTATGGCCGGTCTTCCTGGATTTACTATTACTGTTATGTATAGTGCGATCTTCCTGTCCTTACTATCACTGTTACGTATAGTGCGATCTTCATGTATTTACTATTACTGTTATGAATGATGCGATCTTCCTGTCCTTACTATCACTGTTATGTATGATGCGATCTTCCTGTCGTTACTATCACTGTTATGTATGATGCTGTCTTCCTGTATTTACTATTAATGCTGTGTACTGTGTGGCCTTCCTGTCTTACTATTACTATCTTAGCTACTTGAACTTACAAAGCAATCGCTTGTTCATGATATAATATGAAGTTTTACTAGTGTGCTATATTTCAGTCACGTATCTGTCAATGTTCCCACATACTCAAAGTAATTCCCTAGTTTAATCACTTACAAATTGAAAATCTCAAAAGACTTTCAATCATTTTGTTTCCTCTCTTTCAAGAATGCGGCAATGTAGACAGTGGATAGAGGCCTTTACAAGCAGAAAGAAGTGGGATGCTAGAAGTTTACAAGATACACAGTTAAACAGATGTCTTAGTCTACTTGATCTGGTTGGTCTGGGTAAGCATTAATCTATAATTTGAATTTGGACCACGACTGTTATGTTGAGTGAACTGATGATGGAAGTTATCTTTTTAATTCTTAAAGATGCGTTAAAAATAGATAATGAAAAGAGAATTTGTTGAAACTTTTAGTTAAATTACTTCATTCTGAGTGAAGTTATGGCCGTTTGAATAACTGTGTAGTAGTCTCGGTTGTCATTGCTACCGATGTTACGATAATAAATAAAGTTTCGATTATCTACTTTTTAGTTAAATTATTAACTGGCAATCAGGTTTAAATCTGTTGAAAATCAAAACCATCTGGTGGACTAAAGGGTTGATTATGGGTTTGGCGTGTGAATAAATGTCTAATTAATGATTTATATAACATTTGAGGTCAGATCTGTATCAGGCAGATTTGGCTCTTACATAAAGCATCTTTAAGGGTGTTCAAGGGTATTCCTCATGAAAGTTAACTGGAGATTTCACACCACCCACATCAGGGTCCTATTAACCAGATATAAATCGTGGAGCACTGGGTAGTTCACACCAACCACATAAGGGGTCCTATCAACAAGATAGAAATTGTGGAGCAGCGGACATTTCAGATCAACCACGCCCCGATCTTTTAATGTGGTACATCGTTGAGTTGTAACGGCCAAACAACCCACGGACTAGGTGACCGTTGATGTCCCATAAGCCATATCAGCCAACATATTTATTATTAATCAGAACAGTCTGTGGTTAACCTTTGACAGATAGAAATTGACCAGACATTATTAATCTTAAGTGTTTGAAGTATTTTGCTCCAGGATTCGTCATCGTGTTCCCAGGCTTGTCTGATAAATCGAAGTATTGAATCTTGTTCAGTGCTAAGAACATGGGTATTTTAACTTACTGAAATATGGAAGAACTCAAACTGGTAAAGTGACTGAGGAATTTGTGTAACACGTCTTTCTCATATCTACTTCACTGTCTAATAAATCTGGGAAGTTTGTTCGTCGTTTTTCCCTCATAAAATGACTTACAGCTCATCACCTATTTACTGATGAAAATGCCGAAAAACGTTGAATGATTCAAAGCTCTTATTTCTATTAGCTGTATTATTATGCCTTCAATTAGGAAGTCTGGAACATAACGATTGGTCAAGTCTGGGAAAATTCAATCATTTTTGTCAATTATAGACTAAAATATAAACAAAAATGGAGAGAAATATTTGTTATCATTTTCAGTTTATTTCATATTGTGATATTTATTTTTATTTCTTTACATTCTATATTTGCAGGTATATTCAGTACAAGTGGTATAGGAATATATGTATTATCAGCATATATTGCTCGTGTAGATTCTGGACCATCAGCCGTTTTATCTGTTATCATAGCAGGAGTGGCCGCATTATTATCAGGTAATAGCCAGCGAATAATTAATTATTTAGGAATAATTTTGAGTTGATTGCCACTAAAATTAAAGCCCCCATGTTTCATTTACATCTACATTTATTAGTATAACTATAATCGAAAAGCTTCTTAATTGTGAAAAAAACTGACCAAATCATGTATAACGTGTATAAACAAAATCAAAAGTCAATTTGTTTTACCATAATCGAAAAATTAGCATATATACTGCGCTCACACTAAAAACAAAAGTAAGTGTTCTTTAATATCATTTTTTTTGATGTTATAGATGACGTTCGCTGATTCAGGAATCTAAAAAAATATCTCAAACACTTCTCAAGTTGTCAGTGACTACGATCAAAGCACAAATTACAGGAACCCTCTCCTTCAATTGAACAGCTTCGAGTGTTTATATTGAAGGAATCGTAATAAAGGCTTTTTCTTTATAATTTAAATCCGCTGGTTTTCAATAGCATTTGTCGGAGAGTATCAAGTAGTTTTCACGACATAACACACGCTAAAATGTACTGATTATTTAATGTGTATTTAAGAAAACAAAATAAAAATATCAACGGTAGGTAATATCCCGTTATCGATGTAATCAGATTAAAAGACCTATTAAAAGATTTTACCCAACTGGCTGGTAAAAATCGTCTTTTTTTATTTGGACTGATATTCCTTTAAGAGATTCAACTTTTACAATATTATAGTTTGTAGTGGATTAAAAAAATCTACTAAATGACGATAAAAATAGTCTGCTTATTTGGACTGATATTCCTTTTAGAGATTCAGCTTATTGTAGTTTGTAGTGAATTAAAAAATCTTCCAAATGACGATAAGCGACTTTAAACTTACTTGATTAAATATTGAATTATCTTTCATACTGTGTCATGACTGTTTGTTGCAAACAAATGAAAACGTAGATGGTGATATTAGCTTTAACACAATACAAACACATCGACGCGTAAAAATGAATAAAAACGCGGTAATACACATCATCCGCCATAGATGAATAAATAATTACATTGATTATAGATATTGAACATGTAACAGAAACTCTTCATGATAAACTTAATGGTGCAAAGAAACAACTTTAGAAATTAATAGTGTATTTAGTTCTTTTGAAATAACATTAAAATTCATTTATTAATTATTCCATTGGTATAAGTTACTGTTATCAGACATGTGACGCGACGATCTTGATGCAATTTAGAATCGTATTTCAGTTATAATATATCGTAATCGGCAGCTAGATAACTCAATATACCTATCAAATATTCGCAATGTATTCATTAAGGGGGTTATTTGATTAGCGTACAGGGAGCTAGATTGCCAAATAATGAATTCTATAGCTAGAAATTCAATTGAACTAATGTACATGACCAGACATGTATTGTTGGTATTATTGTATACAATTATAACCCTTGCTTCGTCTAAAATTCGCCTCAAGACATTATGATGAATTGATGTGGAAGTTTTAATGGATGTCATTGCGCAATGCTTTAAATATATTATATGAATAATACATTCATGGCGATGGAAAAATAATATTATTAATCGAGCGAATGTTATTAATTTGACGTGAATTCCGGTGGGAGAAATAGAGATATAATACGAACATACGGCTTGTGTCTCTGTTTCCAGTCCTGCCGCAGATAAAGTTGTCAATTACACGACTCTTCAATTCCAACGAAATCCATGTTGACATCTATAGTCATGTTTGTTTAACAATAAATATGGTATGATATAAATGTACAGACATAATATATTATATATATATATATTTTGTTATAAAACAAAATCAAGCTAACAACAGGTCGATATATTTGGAATTTGATGTCAATTACGTGTGTATGTTTCATTTTATGTTTTTATTTTTATTTATACTACATGGCCATTTTTATTTATACTACATTTTTTTGTAAACGGTGTTCACGTCACATGAACTCATTGACCAATCAAATTGCTTGCATTGGTGTACAGGGCTTTGTTTCTGGGAAATTTACAGTTCATGTTTGAGGTTATAGCATGGAAGTGCGATTACTGTTTAATTTCTCACACCAGTAAGTCATATTGGTATAGGCTTCTTGGTGTAGCGAGCCCCCCACCCCACTATCCCCGTTCAGATGGTCCTGTAACGTCTTTCAAAGTAAAAAAGATGAATAAATTTTGGTTAACAGTAGATGAACATGAATTACAGTATAACATTAAAGTAATGATGAATTTAGGAATCTCGGTACAAATGATTAATGGTTGATTAATTGCATTTGGAACTGGTTGATTGATCGATATCAATATACATTTGATCTTTTGCGTTAGACATGGTTTCAAGCTGAGAATTCAATTTCGAGATTTTGATTTGCATTCATTAAGGTCATTACTTAATTGACCGTGAGAATATCAATTATTTAGAGTTGGCTGAAATTCGCTCGTTCACAATAGTATTAGTGGCTGCTGTCACTTGCAAAACACGGTTGTTGGATCACAAAAAAGTTTAAAGATGGGTTCCCAGAAAAGTATTTATCGGGTGGTTATTTCCAATAAAAGTAACGTAATTTTGGTATGTATGGAAAGTAGAGATATCCAATCTTACTAGAAAAATACTGGATTCCCTGAAAAACACAGGACAAAAATGTAAGGGTTCCCCTAATCAACAGCCCGACGATTAAGAACTTCTGCACGCGTGGTGTCAAAGGTCACAAGCGAACATTGAGCGCTTGATGTACAAGTTGATAAACTTTATGAAGAGTTAAACGTACAATACTCTCTGAGATAAAAATGACGGAAAAAGACGCGGGTAGTGGATAATCCGAGAATTTAATTAGGATTCGATATTTGTAATAAATAGTAAGCGATTAAAGACAAAATCGTCTTATGTATGCAATGAATTCTCCTCTGACTCCCAAGACGTGACGTAAACATGACCTGGTTTGATCGAATTTTAATAGCAGAGCATTCCTTCGCAATTACAATGTTTGAGACTGTCCTCATTACCGCATATACGGGAATACAAAGATATATTTTCTCAAAGGAATAAAGACTGTGGCTGTGCAGGGAGGTGGTGGTTTGGGCGGCCCAATAGAATAGTCATGGCTACGCCCCACGCCATATCCGACGAACACTAATATATGTATATTTCATGCCATATCAGAGTTCCATGCCCCTTTCTCTTCGGGGTAAGATGCAATTATTTCTGTTGATTGTGTTTTCGTCGAAAAGTAAAAGCAGGAAGGCCGCATCACACATAACAACATCTTAAAGATAAGTCCACGGAAAAGACACACAACCTAAAACTTAACATCGCAAGCAATAAAAAACAAACGTATTTCAATCCAAATGAATAGATCCGGGGATATAGTCCAATTCTCATATCTCTAGGATAGAACAGGCCCGTAGTTAGTGGGGGCCAAGGGGCAGCTGCTCTCGCTGGAAAAAATCGGCGCCCTTTCCACTGGACGCAATACGAAGCCAACGCCCAACGTACCCATATCAGTATGAGCGCCCCATAAAGCCGAATACATTGGTTGAGCACCCACGACGAGATTGGCGGGCGCCCAACCAATGTTACTTAGTTTTATGGGCGCCTCGCCAATAATGTTCTTATATATGACCCCCCCCCCCCCCCCCCCGCAAATGGTGAGGCGCCTCATAACGAATCACACGATAAACACCATAACTTGATTGGTGGGGCGCCCAAAACGGCGTGATCTGCAAGGTACCTTATCCCGGAGGTGCTTCCATAGTGACATGATTGGTGAGGCGCCTTATATTGACAATATAATTTTCTGGTCGCACATAATACATAATGCCGAGTGAGATTGGCTGGGCGCCCACGACTTGATCAATGGGGTGCCCAAAACGGCATGATTGGTGGGGTGCTATATCCCGGAGGGGCGCCTATGATGCCGAAATTGGTGGGCTACCGAAGACGAAATTTTCCAGGCCAAATTTACGATGGGAATGAGATTGATTCAAGTGTGATAATCTTCAAAATTCAAACAAGTCGCAATCTAACCCAATTCCGAATTTTTCGTTTTCCTCATAAATTATTATAGGTTGGCTAAAGTCATATACCTTCCTGCCGTTTCTATAATGTTCATATCACAAACGATAATTCAGCCTCAAAATAGAAATTTTCCATCATTTTCATAGTTCCTCTCCTCAGGTGCAAACCCTATCTTCCAAAATTTTCTTGGAGGAGAGGACAGAAGCCGCCCCCTCCCTCCGTCAACATTTTTAAGCTAGCCACTGGCCCGTAGAAACCTTTACATTGAAAAGTACTGGGTACGCCATTCGGAAAATATATTCATAATACAGGATAAAATATGTTTGTTGCCATATGGTTTTGCTATTTTGATAGTTTTCCATTTAGAACGCCCACTTACTATTTATTGGATTAGACTATTCGATGTATAGACTGTGTATGTGATATTACCCTATAGCATTTATTACGTACAATGCGTATTGTTCGTACAACACTCGTTATAGATTTTGTTAATAGCGTATCCCTGAGGCTAAAACTATTTAGAGACTTTTTGCTTTGGACACTGATGTTCATTTGGCTATATGACAATGAAACGAATAGCTATTCAGTGTGAGAGATGGAGAGAGAGAGGGGGGAGAGAGGGCTGGAGAGAAAGAAAAATTGGATTCAACATTCCACGAGTTCTTGTACATGTTTTAGATGGAAACCTCGCCAATTGATTCAGGGATAGCCTATATAAAGGGCACACGTTTTTTAATTACACAATTTTGCCCTGTAGGACAATTGCAACATGTCTATAAAAACAGAAATTGTTTAGGCATCATAATAGAGATAATTGTTTCTAAGCAAATTCAGAAATATGTAATCAAAATTATCGACTATATGTCTGCTTAGACAATCATTGAAAACGCCATACATCGGTATTAACAGCTTGTATATAATAATATAACTATAGATTTCATAGTATAGGTTGTTTAATATAGAAGTGCTAATAGTTGTGTTATTGTCAGCTTAATGGAGGCACTTTATCGCAACTGAAGATGTGCTTATCATCTATTACGTGGTAGGTTTTAAAACCTGGGAATAGAGTATGATCAATATTTAATTCTATAACGGTGAAAATACCAATGACGAAACAATGGGTGGTGTTTGGCTGACACCCTGAATCATTTAGTACAGAGTATAGTAGAACTGTTCGTCGAAAATGTTATTTTTATTATAACAGATAAACGAGCAATGTTTTGGTGAGAACTATTTAATGGGTACTGATTTTATAATGAATGTTTAAATGAACTAAATCGATTCATTAGCTGCTGTGGAAACTGCCATTATGCTACAACATTTGAAAGTGTCATGTGCGTCAGATTTTGCTACTGAACAACACACCATACTAGTATATACATATATCAATATTCCTGTGAAGTGGAAAATTTGGCATCTTTAGGACAAGCAAAATATCAAATTGTAACGTATACATAAAGCTTATATATATCTTGCACATATTAGCATGTTAGAAATTGTATTGTGTATTAATCATAAAATAGAATTCAAATGTTCATATCTCGGCAATGCTAACGTCCTAAATACTGCTTATCATTTGCACGTCCCTGGCAGCCCAGTAAATTTTTCAACATAGAATTTCATTAAGAAAGCATTACAAGAACGCAAAGCATTTGTAAGGACCCCACCCCATCCCACCCCACCCCACTCAACCCACATCCACAACCTTCCCCATGATTTGATCGAAAACCAATTAATTTCACGGTTATGTATGATAAAGCGTCTAGTTATGTTCACATATCAGTGTTGTCTTTTTGTGTTCAGACCCGTTAAGCTATACGTTGTGGGGTATGTTGTATCCGAGGCAGGATATGCTTCCCAGATACCATTTCTTATTTTTAGGGAAGTTCGCGTAAAACCAACGAATATTTGCTGTACATCCGTGATCCTTAGAGAGTACAAATTTGTGGAAGCATAGCCATAAACATAGATTGTACAATTTAAAAGGCATCGATTGCTTAGGAATTAACATGACCTGATACGTAATCCATTCACGAGGCACATTTACCATGACATTTGGTAAACAATTATGTTCAAGGAGTGTTATTATTTTTAATTCTCCTCAATTTAATACCAAGTAGACACACATATTACACGACCTAGTACCAAACCATATGAAAAAGAAATGCAATAGTGAAATGGGGTTTAACGTCCTGCTTGACTGGACTAATGACAGAGCCATACAGTGTGCTATGATGGAAATTTTGCCAGGAATTCCAACTGTCAAGGGTTCTTTTACGTGCACGCCAATGTGTACAAGGGACCTCTTGTTTTCGTCCCATCCGAACGACCAGACGCTGTCTTTGCCAAGCCCCCCGCCCGTCCTCTCCCAGGAACATCTTCAGCCAACGCGAACTCCAGATCTCCTGCTTAGCGAACCAGCGTCGTACACAATGAGCCACCGCGGCTCCCCATCTCAAAAGGAATTGAATGTTGCTTTTACAATGTCTCGTCAAAATAACACATCAGTCATTCTGAGACAAGCGCATGGTGATTTTTATTTTTATGGTTACTTTGCAATTTTGCCAGGAAAACAACTGTTCCGACTATATTTCTTCTAACTTCAACTGTCAAGTGTTCTTTTATGTGTACAGTGTACAGCCCATTTTCCGGTTGCTGTTTTTTTTTCAAACGACTAGGTACACTTTCCTTGCCACCCTCGTATATGGCACCATGGAGTTCTTCTCGCCGGAGATTCGAACCCGGAACATTCTAGACGAGAAGTTGGACAATGATTTATAAGTCGGTGTTTTTATTGAAGATATATGAGGCTGTGTACCCATTGGCATTATATGAACTTCAGATAATTTGCTTAGAGTGACATTTAGATTCTCGATCTGAAAGAAAACAATCTGATCAATACGAGTGACACCACTGGTGATAAATACATATACATCTGATTTATGATATCCAATTGATATAATAAAAAAATAAACAGATTATACGTACATCAAAATATTTCAAACTGTAGGCGATGATCTAATAGTAATTATATCAAATAAAATTGACAATTTTGACCAGGAAGCAGCTGAGATATTTTCTGGTTCGGAAGTAATTTTGAAGAAAATTCCATTAAAAAATATATTTAATGATTTTTCTAAGTCTGATCTCTGATCTCTTTTGCAAAGAAAAAGATGCAAACATTATCTCAAATTATATGATATTTATCTGTATTTTTATTTTTTTAAGTATAATTATTTCCAAAGGTTATATCCATATTTATCTGTTGTAAGAGCAATAAAGTTTTATGCTCTATTTTTTATGTTTTTGTGATTAATTTGATCGTTTTTCTTGCAGCATTATGCCAGGCAGAATTAGCAACCAGACTTCCTCGTGCAGGAGCTGGATATGTCTACACTTATGCCACTTTGGGCGAGTTATGTGCCTTTGTTGTTGGATGGAATAACTTGTTGGAACATATGTTAGGTGCTGCAGTTGCTGCCAAGGCATGGGTTCATTATTTGGATAATATGGTCAATGGAACGATTAAAGGGTCAGTCTATATATATTCTTTAACATAGTCTCGATTGTCAAGTGCCATCGCCACGATAATAAACGAAGACTCGATGAGAACGAAGATATGATAGACATTGTCTCATCCTAGCAATTTGATTGTCTAGAGAGTTGATCATGTGAATAAATGTCTAAAAAATAATTCATATAACATTTAAAGCTAGGATAGCTTTTACATAATGCATCTTTAAATTTTAATTCCTATGTGCTAACTAAAGTATGTGCACTTACTAAACGAGATATTCCCAACCCCACCCTAGAAATCTTTATTGCATGTATCGGTGTTATATCTAGATGGATTGGACATCTTATCGAGGGAAGGGTTTGTATTATTTATTTGATTACGTCAATCAGGTTTCGTTTTAATTTGAAATATAATGAAATGGGGTTTCAAGTCATACTTTTCTGCACCAACTGTTCTAATAAAAATGGATATACGCCATGCATGTGAATGTTTGTCTTGATAGCAGTGTTTCCGCGGGCTCTTCGTCGAATACCAACTCCGGGAACTGGGTTTGTCGTAATGAACACCAAGGCCCCGTGTACACGTTGACGTGTACGTAAAAGAACTCTTGGCAGTTGAATCCAAGATAAGTGCAGGCTGTAGTGCAGTTGTTCAGGCAAATCTTCCTTCATAACGCACTGCATGGCGAGTGTCCGCCTACATTATTTATAATCCCGGTCGGTGCAGAAGAGTAGGACGTTAAATCCCATTTCATGTTCTATATATCTGTTATAAAAGGGGGGGGCGTTCAACTGCGTCCTGGATGGCGTGAGGGAATAGCCAATGAAACCATCTGTTACGGCGACTTCTAGGTGTGCGATGCACGAAACTGTGGGTTAACCACTAGAAACGTCAACGCTGATTGATTAATCAATGTCTGACGTCATAAAGTCAAAGGCCGCTCGTACGAGCCTTGACGCGACCTTCCGGTACAACTGGTCAGATCTTCATGTAGTATAGGCCATCGAAACTATAAAGAAACGAAACCAAACATAGATCTGTATTTTAATCAGATTGCATCAGATACTATAAATAACAACTATGACGTCATTGAAAATTATATTATTGATCATTTGTGATAAATTTAGCTTTAATTGCATAAGTAAGAAAACTCTCTCACTTATATAGAATGACCCTTTTTTCTTAAATTTCAGTCACATGAGTGAAACCATTACGTGGCACCAACAATCATGGATCCTGGAAGAAACACCTGATATTCCCGCTGCACTTGTTGTCTTGGTTTCAACATTATTCCTATTACTTAGTGTAAAGGTCAATACTTATTTTATGTTATCGTTGTACTAGTCCTTCTTACGGTCAGATTTAAATATTAAGGTAATCTGCAGATTTCGCCAAGGTCACGAGATGTTGCCGAGGATTGTGGGTTTGGGCAGACCTATGGTTAGGGTAAGACGTTGGCGCTAGCCCTGTTTACATCTCGTGACCTTGACGAAATTTGGAGGTGGTCTTAATATTTAGATCTAACCCTTCTTACATATATAGAGAGAAATGGGTTTTAACTTCCACGCGACATAAACTAGGTCATTTCGGGACTAACATATGGTTCAGCTTTATTTCAATAATTTGCTTGCACGTAGGGGTCCATAGCAGTGGGAGGAAACCGGGGGAGCCGGAGAAAACCCACAAGGTTAGACAGGCAACCCTTCTCTTTGTTAAGTACAAGCTGGGAATCGACTTGACACAATAACAGACCTTATAGTGTGAACAGGTGCATTAAACCAACTTTTTCTCAGATTAAATCAGGAAATTGGATCGAATTTCCAGCTTTTTGATAAGACGTCGACAGTATAATCCCAGCTTAGAAATCTTTATCCTTGTCCAGTACAGCTGTCTGAAGCTATGTGGTATTTTTTCGAAGGAATGCAAAACCGTTTGTTTTATGTTGAAATGCGATTAGTTTTCAATAGAGTGTCATTATACATTCAAGTGTAGTGAAAGCTCGTTTTACTTTTAATCCTACGGATAGCCATATCCACCAAAATCCTCATTCTTTTAATACAAGTATATCATAGTTTTTCTCGGTTGCCAAATGCCATAATATTTCACTGGGCCCTTGCCATTGACTTCTACCAATAAACAATTTCCGGTTTTTCGAAGCCAGCGAATGCCAAATAATTGATGTAACAAAAGTTATGACATCAGTTTTAAATGCATGCAACATAAGTTGGCGAGTTGGTTTTTTTAATAGATTTTTTTAGCAAAATAAGATTAGAAATCAGTTGACGTTATCAAAGTTGACTACGTAAATCAAAATCAGTCAAAATTTCCTCACACCAATATTGTGTTTAAAGAATTCCTTTTGACAACGTGATACAAACTCTAAACTTTCCACCAAACCAATAATAACCTTTACTTTTTGGACGAGAAACTGGGTCTTGTTCTTCTTGTAAGGGCGAGAAAAGCCTAAGGCTCCGCATGATTGTTCCTTAGACAATATTGAACATCGATTAAAGGATGTGCAATTCCATGATGGCGGTGATGGTCTGTTCCTGGCCAAAGCCGTATATAAGTCTTTTTTTCTGCCTAATCGACCTTATTTTGTGGTTTGGTTGGACTTGTTTTTATAAGAAACTGATTAAACACCGTGTTCTACTTAAGCATGCACTATAGCCAAACCCTCTTATATCACCGGTATACAATTTGAAATCAAGGACTTCTCCTGTAACTAATCTGTGACAAGACAACATGTTATATCACGGATGCTATTCCTAAATCTGTTGAAACGAAAAGGACAACACGCACACAGACTCACAAAGAATGACCTAACACCGAACATTAATTTCCATCTGCATTTTTATGCTAAACAGCTACACTTATACTACATCATCATAAAGGAGTATTTGTAGATTTTAACAGACACCTAATGTTGTGTTACGTCTGTTTTGAATTATCGTTGTATTATCTGTACACCAGCCTATCCTCCAATGGACTATTAAGAGCACGATATTGTTTCGAAATTGATCTGGCTTCCGAGCCATTTTACACGGTCTGGCTCTTCAATTATACATTGAGCTAGAGAAAGACTTTATTCCGGACTTAAATGGTGATAATTTACCTATTATTGTCAAGTAACTGATTCTCTTAAGCGTTTGTATTTTCCGCCCTAAATTAATCATGAAAATACAGCATCATGTTAAATGGACCTTGAAAGTCCTATACTTTATTGACAATTAATGGAGCCAAGTTCTTCCTGTACAGTCCCATTGCTACAAATTCTCTAAATTATGTATAGCTTCAACATGTTTACCGCAGTTTTCCCTTCACATCTAATCTTCCAGTTGGGACATCCATAAAATGAAATATCTGATCAGATTCGATTGTTTACCAATATATACATATATAAGCACTATAGATTGTCTGACAGAGTTAGTCTATACACTTCATAGAATATAGTTTTGTAATCGGAGAGACTGCTTTGTGGTTGTATTCCCACAATGATTTAAATGTTGTGTAGCGTTCAATATCCGTTGTTATCTATATCGAGTTTTCTCCACTTTTTACATGATTATGTGCGATAGAATTGACAAAATGGTCGCTTTATCATAACATTGGGAATACAGCTACTTTAATTTCCCGATTTCCCTCAAGAACGAAAAGGGATTTTATATCATGGTAGCAGTAATGACCAGTAAAATAATCTGTATCTGAAGTAACCGTTTAGTTTGCCAGTTCTCAAGAGGCGATTTAAATTATCCGTTTTAGACACCGAGATTGACATGATATCTCGCTAACATATCAATGTTAGGTTTGAGGCCGTTTTAAATTGGACATTTTATATAATCCAGTGTCAGGGAAGCATAACTACAACATATTTTGTCCCAACAGACTGAATAATTAAAGCATCGGTGATTCTATGACGCTTACGCCAACGACTATTCGTTTGGGGTTTTTTTTGTCCCGTCTGAATAGAGGACTTTCCTACAACACTGACAAATAGTAACCAGGGCCCTGTTTCTCGAAATCTTAACTAAAGATAAAATCCAAATTTTAGTAGATACTTCAATTTTGATTGGTTAAGCACTAAAATCAATCTAATATTATCCAATCAAATTACTAAAATACGGATTTTATCTTAGTTAAAATTTCGTGAAACAGGCCCCAGGCCGGAAAATCCAGAGGAGCTTTCTTGGCCAGAACCGAAATCGAACTAGTTATTAAGCCAGTACCATACCCACTGAGCCCCATGTCTTTGTGAAAGGAGAATATTAAGAATAAAGGGTTCTTCGCTTACGATCTTTATTCAAAAACGTGTCTTTACGGTGATACAAGCCACTGTAAAATATCTAATTAATTAAAATCCTATTTTATGTTTTTCTTTCCAGGTTTATGCTGTCATAGTTTTTATACTGGGTGTGTGTAGCTCATTGGTGATTATTTCTTTTGTTTGTGTGGGCTTCTTCCATGTTCAGTCTGACAACTGGACACATCCACCGGGTTTCTTTCCAAATGGATTTTCGGGGGTGAGTAGAAGACTTCCACATTCTTTAAATAACTGTAGATGACACAAGTGTTTTCTGATTGGTTGAGAAATGTCGTACCAATCAGAAATTTACGCGCCATGGAATAGGTACATAATATAGTCAGTGACAAAATCATCAAACTATAAAACACCATGTAATTCGTTTGGCCCTATACTCGTCCTGTTGTTGTTCATTTTTTTTTTTTTTTGTTCTTTGGGTGGTACTCTTCGAATAAAGCCTGAGGCTACGCCATGACATGGCATTTGATATGACTGTTCCTTGACTTTATATATGACATGACAATTCCAAAATGGCGGCGACAAAGTCATGCTCGGCCCCTGATACGGTCGTATTTATCCTAAAAAGATTTATAATTTCTTATGTTCTTTTGTAGACTTTAACAGGAGCCGCCTTGGTGATGTTCGGGTTTTCCGGAATAGACATTGTGGTAACTTCAATTGAAGAATCGAAAAACAGCACAAAAACCGTCCCAACAGCGGTGGTATTGACACTAACTTTGTGTTTTGTGGTATATTTTGGTGTGACAGCGGCATTAACTCTTGCTTTTCCCTGGCATTTTCTATCAGAAACGGCAGCCCTTGCTAAAGCTTTTGAAGACAAACATATCTTTGCGTCCACATACGTTGTGGGTGTTGGTGCGTTATTTGGTCTGATATGTTCTGTGTCGGGCTCTCTTTACTCCATTCCTCGTCTTGTGCATTCTATGGGAAAGGATAACCTTCTACCACAGTGGATGTCGAGAGTAAATAACATATCATCTTTACCCATCGCTCCGGCTCTTATATTTGGGGTCATCGCATCTGTGCTTGCCTGTGTTTTAAAATTTGAAAGTACAATACAAATGTTTTCCATTTCAACTATATTTGGATTCACGCTAAGTGCTTTCTGTGTTCTATGCCTTAGATATCAGACCGGCTATGTGGGATTATACCGCGAATATTGTGATCCGTCAGACGTACCCATATGTCACCTGCACTCGCATCTACCTAGCCATTTCAACAGACCTCCACCACGACTGGAAATCATGGCCAATGGTGATATGAAAATGCATTACTCGGAGATGCGTGCCAGTCGGTCTGATGGGTGTCTTTATTGTGAAGAATCAGGGTTTGAATGTTCTTCCAAGTCATACAATCAACTGCCTGTACCCGGAGAATTGACGGAGAGGACCGGTTTTTATCACGAATCGCAGTGTTATGACACCACTGTAAAACCAACAGTATCTCGCTCCAGTCTAAACAGCCTTATAAAATTGCCTAGTGACACTCTTTTAGATCCAAACGATTCCACATGGAAATCAACTGTGGTATCTATAGTGGTTTTCACAGTTTCTGCTACTTTAATGTGTTCTTCGTGTGTAGCTATCTCGCTAGAAGGGACTTCTGGTACCTGGTGGGCTATCACAATAATATCTATGTGTTCCGTGTTTATGGTTACTTCAGCATTGGTCATAGCCAAGCAACCCCAGAATAAGACGAAATTGTATTTCAGTGTACCTTACGTGCCACTCGTTCCATTATTATGTATAACAATAAACATGTTTCTGATGTCAGCCTTACCAGCCATGTCCTGGATACGATTTACAATATGGATAGCATTAGGTGAGTTGAAAATCTAATTACAAAATGAAGAAATAGAAATAAATGCAGGAATTTAACGTGGGGGTGGGGGTGGGGGTTTTGGCACAACTTGAAGTTTAGCGCGAGGTCAGAGTGGTTACTCGATAATTTTATAAAGTCAGAAGCTCAGAGAGAATATTTCTGTCCATTTAGGTGAATACTTGTAGAGGATTAGTGTGGGGTTTTGTTATTTCGAGTTATTTAGGAGACACAATTGATGCGCGAGTACGGAATCCCGACTCCCACCCCCACCTTCTCAGATATGGTATTTAACATGTTTATCTGACCTGGAGTAATTTAAATACTCCAGGGAGTGTCTTGATATTGAATTAAAGATTGGGGGCACACCTTAGATTAAGGTACTTAAAATAATACGTTCCTAGATATACAAGTTTTAACGGGAATCTTATCAATGCGTTTACTCACCAATTTTTACCTTAGTATTTAGGCAATCTCTTATGATTGGTACTGGCTTCTTTACATGTGGTGCTATATTCTATTCCTCTGCTTCTTATTTGTTGATTCAGTTTTCTCAAATTGGATTTCAGTAAAGTATGAATTTATGAAAAGTTGACATATGGTCGTTAACATGGTTTCAAATGTTATATAAATCATTAATTAGACATTTATTCACATGCCAAGCCCATAATAAACGCTATAGACCATCGGATGCGTTTGATCTTCAGCGGCCAGTGTGGCGCTCAGAATGAAGTAAATTGACTGAAAATTTGAAAATATCCCCTTTTCAATATCTATTTTTTTTAAAGTTTATAGCGACAATGGTCAGCTCTTTATCTATATCTTACATAATGCATCTTTAAGGAAAAAACGTTATGTTTAAGGTGAAAGTGTACCGTAATGTACTTTAAGGTAGTAAAATAAATTTAGCCCTCTAATCATGAAAAACCATATTTAAAAAAAAAAACACAATTTTTAAATGCCTCGCTTACATGATGATTGTTCGCTTCATACCGATGCGATTATACACACGACCGCTATTTCCACAAGATCATTTCTATAACGATATTCGTTTGACACAGATGTATGTCTGATAATCTATTTTGAGGTTTTAGCTTTTTTTGGTTATATTCTTTGTTGAGAAGGAAGACTTTATGTTGGAGACAAGTTAATTACCCCAACTCGAACTTATTTTTCGCAGTTTAATAAACTTTGAGATTTGTTTTTAAATCCGGATTGTGATTTTCAGAGCGATTGTCAGAGGGTATTTCACTCGTTAGTTTCTAATAACAATGGCTACATCTGTGGTAAATGTCAGCGTATAGAAAGAGATTTTATTTTATAGCCATTAACTCCATTTTTCTTCTCGGGTGATTACTATCTCTTAATAATTGTCTTCGGGAAAATCTTAAAGACAAAAAGGTTAGCCACACAAATTCAGATGTTTCCTTCCCGTGTACGGAATTGATTAAAGCGGTAGGCTGCCCGGGAGAATTCTGTTATTTGTTTTCCCCGGTTTGTAATCAAACCGGAAATTAAAGTGTTAGACTTGAGGATATTTACCGGAAATTTTCAAAATATGATGAGACTTCGAGACGAATTATTCGAGTGTTTATTGGTCTTTTGAAAGAGTAATAAATCGACTTAGTCTGACAGGCCCTCAGCATGAACATCGGATAGTGATACATTTTGATGCTTTCTATCACCACAATTATCTGACAAATATGGAAACTGTTAATTGATGTGATATGTGACCAGTTGTTTTAATTTGTTATTTGTGGAGATAACGCCTTTACATCTAATCATTAAACTAAATTTTATTACACAATTATTGGTCATAAATACGTCCAGAAAGTATGAAGTGGTCTATTGTCTTATTCAATAAGTCGCGATAACAAGCAAGGCAATCAATAGGTTTTCACGAGGAGTTATATTTTATTTTATTATATATTTAAAGCCTAAGTAGACCTAGATAATGTTCGCATTGTCTTTATTATGTTTTATTTAGAATAGATTTGAAATTGCGTTAATTTATATTCCCATAAATTGACCAATCTCTAATGTTTGTGTTTACATTAATGTTTACCGTAGCACCATAAAGATAAAAAGCTGACATTTTTATGTTCTGAATAGGTTGATTAAAGCTCCAACAAGACAGAGCAAAAGTTAATTATAGAGTTTTAAGATGATATACAACCATAAGTACTTTTATTATTAGTTTTAAATTTATTCAATCGCTTATAATTAATTGATACTCTCATTTAAAGTTTATATTGTTTTTATTTCACATCGCCATCTTTATGTATCTTAGACAATAATAGTTTTACTATCCTTTCGTAGACTATATACTTTCGTTATAAAGATTAACATCACTGAAATGTTTTAAAACGGCCGATACATGGATTTAACATTGAATTCAATGGCAAATGAATTTCTAGCCTTAATGGGGAATTAATTGCTATAACCTTATCCCGTGTTAACTATGGGTTATGCCTCTATGTATCTGGTATTTTTCAAACTTTGTACAGTTAGCTTTGCCACATAAATGTAATATGAAGATTCATTTTAAATTTCTATGATTTCTAATTATAAGTCAATCTTTGTGAATGTATCTGAGGGCGCCCTGGAAACACAATTGTTTGTGGTGGGTTAATGTTTCATTGCCTGACAAACTATATTTAATTTTAGGATGGTCTCTTCCCTAAAGCTTTTGTTTGCATATAATATATTATATAGTAATATGATGGCATTGTCAATATGGCATATGTTCACATACTAGTACTCATAGGCGAACGAGCCTGGGGGGCAATCTGACTTTTCGGGCAGACGGGTAAAGTGTAAAGTGCCAAAATCTAATAAAACACTAATTTTACTTTATTTTTAATTGAATATCACGAATTTGTACTGAATTGACTATGGATTAAAACATTTTGTATGGAGCCACTCGACTTTGTGCGACATTTTTTGGGCATCGATTATTAATTATGAATGCAGCTGCAACAGTCTGATTGGATGGTTGGAATTCAGGTCGGCAAAGAGTGGGATTTCGGTTACAAAACCTAGACAACTTTTAAGTTGTTTAACTCATCATGGACTAGAATAGTAGAAAAACCGCATTTGAGGCTGTTAGTTGTTTAAATTTTCTCCGATTGGTTGTTTGGGATTCAGGTCAGCCACCTATATGGTAGGCTATATTGGACCACACTGAAGTTGCTGGAATAGCAGAAAAACACGTTTACGGCAGTTAAATATTCAAAATTAGGCTATATTAGACCACTTTGAAGTTGCTGTATTCACGGGGTAGAATAGCAGGAAATGCGTTTGCCGCCGTCTAATTTTCCAAAATTTGCGCCACCGCCTGTAAACCGTAATTTTTTCGGGTTCTGCCCCCCCCCCCAACTGTCATCGACTACCAGTATCTACTACTGTCAAGTGTCGCTACACGTTGTTAGTAGGGGTTAACGTACGCTTCCACCGAGGGTGATGCCGCTCACAAAGTTTTCCTTAAACTAACCAGAAGAGCCAGCCGTGGTAGCCTAGTCGATCTTTGGTTAGGTATGTGGGAACGATGTGGTTAAATGCACAATCGGGCCTTCCGACATATATACATGTACTGTTTCTATTGGAACCTTATTAGGACAAATAAAGTAACCTTGGATGGTTGCAAATAGGTGATCACTGATCTAGAAAGGGTTGAAACATAATAAGGCTGTGCACTGGTTGGCAGAAGGACGAGGGTAGGGTCCAACTACCTTTCCCGCTCGAACCTAATGTGTTGCTACAAATATAAAGTCCTAGGCTATGTCGTGTCAAAAACCTCAGCTCCAAATAAAACGGTATCTTTCCGGGCATGAATATTTCTGATCATGGGTAAGGCAGATTGGAACACCAATATTGGATGTACTCAGTACGATTCTTGCTTCAACTCCCCACAATGCAAATTCCTATAACAATGCTAACAATTTGATTAGTCGGTCAGTTCACGTGATTTGAACTTCCGGTAATAGACTTATTTTTTTTTAAAAAGATGCATAAAGCAGAAGACAGTCATCCCCCGCCCCCCTACACACACACACCCATAGACTTAAATATTAAATGCATGACCCTGAGTAAAATGCCAATGATATGCCCAAGTTCCTTCGATACAAAAGTGAAGTAAAATTTGACTCTTCTGAAACGTATTAGAACTGATATCAGTTGATCTAGTAAAGGGAAGCGTGCAACTTCCTTTCCTACTAACGGGTTCGAGATGTGTTTTAAAAGTTTTTGTTTTAAATGCCGAAACAATATTTGTTTTAAACTTATGACAAAATTATCTACTTTAGATCTGCTAATGTTTATAGAAAAAACTGCATTGTACTGTTTGTTGGGAAGCTTTTCTTGACAGGATTTTCTTTTGGATTTCCGTATGCAATGGCATTCGACTAATAGCGTTTACATAAATAGCTATTACTATTATTTGCTTACATTACGTAAAAAAGGCTTCCTTATTCAATGTGTCTCTAAACCTACAGATTTAGAAAACTCGATAGCGCCGCATTAGTTTAGATTTTATTAAACAAATCTGATTCCATTCGTGAAAGGAAATTAATTATTGACCTGCGTTGCTACTTTAAGTTGATAAGAACGACTATTCATTATTTTTCATTAAGTCTGACATTTTATAGTGTTATGGCGAACCGCTTTCCTATTTTATCTCTGGTAATGAAAACTGTTTCGTGCTGAGAACATATTTTTTCGCAATTCCGTAACAAATTTTAAGACCCCGTTAATGCACAGTGAATAGCTACATTTTTATCTCATCGATGCACCATTAAGTAGATTTAACACATTTTCTTCTGTATTAGAGTTGTGTTTTTTTCTGGAATAAATCTAGTAATAATGTGTATAGAAAATGTCGGAAAGGAGAAAAATCCGTGTGATTTGTGAGATTTTAGTTTTCGATAGTGCGTCAACTACGTTTTAAAGGACACTAGCAAAACTCAACAGCACCGCGAATTGATCTGAACAAGGTTAGTTTCGTC